CTTCGAGGGGTAAAAAGTATAACTATTGCACTGTGTTGTACAGCTGAAACTAATTCTAAAAAATGTGTATTTCATAATAAAAAATAATTAAAAGAAAAAAAACTCCAACAAATATCCAACTTCAGAAAATAAAAAACATCCCCACCTTATCCATGAAGAAACTGAGGCTCAGAGAAGTGCTTTGTCCAAGATGACACAGCCAATGATAAGAACAGCCAGAATTATGTTTGTTACACAATACTGCCTCCCCTGGCGTTCTGGAAACTAGAGACCCCTCTTGAGAACCATTAATTTCTTTTGCTTCAGTATAATTTGAATTACTGTTGTCAGTCAACTTTCTGTGTGACCCTTTTATTTCCAAATTAGAAAAGTCATTAAAAGTATCATCTATTTCAGTCTGGAAGAGATGGAATAAATAAATAAATAAAAATGTCTTTATCCTGTTTATAATTTCTCACTGCTTCTTTACTGAGCTCGTCGAAGAACCCTGGAAAGGTCATGGGTTTCAAGAGTAACACAGGTTAAGAGTTTTGGAATCGGGCAGATCCGGGGGTTGAAATCCTGCCTATGACCTTCCTTCACAAGGGGGTGACCTTGGGCAAGAGACTTCACTTCTCAGTGCCCCAATAAGATCAGGACAATAGAGCACCTACCCCAGTGTGTTCACCTACCACGGTGAGAGGACGAAATGAAATACATGTGCCTGGCATGCAGTAAGGACTCAGTACATATGTGTTCTGTGGTTCCAGGTATACAATCCAGGCAAATGTTTTTCTAAATGTGCAGACTGATACAAAGAGCACCACACATGTGAATGCCACAGTCATTCATTCTACAAATATTTATTGGGGACTTACTAGGTTCCAGATATTGTTTGGGGCGCTTGGGATCTATCAGTCAACAAAACAAAGATTCCTGCCTTTGGAGGATTCAACATTTATGTCCTCCTGAGCGCAGGGAAGCACAGTAACTTTGGGTTTTAAACACAGCACACATGCACCTTTTGCAAACTCCGATCAACTGTACATTACTGTCTCCTACCCCTGTTAATCGGAGGGGCGGAGTCAGGAAAAAAATCCCATAAGACTACCAAAGCCACTGGTGCCTAATTTTGGGGTACAGCCCATGGTTTAGTTGAACCACTTATGGTGTGGTTAGCCTGATTTTTAAGGAGTCTGTGCCTCCTGAGTACAGCTCAAACTGGTGAAGGTGGTCTTAGAGTATGACACAGAGTGGGGGGAATCAGCTGGAGCTCCCAATGTACTCTGGAAGATAATTCCTCCATGCCTAATAGAATTTCTTCTGTTAGTAATTGCATTAACTCGCCTTTGGAAGAGAGAAAGGGAAAGAAGGTGGGCAATTGACGTGAACAAAAGCTCTTGATAACTTATGAGGTCTCTGGACTTCGGAGACTGTAAATTTCAGACTCACCTGCCAGGATGCATTTGGCTGCCAGCTTCACCATGGTAACCAACCACTTCCACGGACCAGACGGGAAGAGCGGCGGCTAGAGGCGTTGGTGGGCCTGCTTGGGAAGGGACGTGGGGAGGGGTGAGCTCAAGGTGCCTGCGGCCGCGATGGGAGCAGGGACAGATAAGGCCTGGACCCTCTGGGCTAGACAGGGGGCGGCTATCAGGAGCGAGGCTTACGGCGGAGGCGCAGATGGGGTCTGGCTCAAGGCCTCAGAAGGCAGCCTGGAAGGTGCCAGCGAGGCGAGCGGCACCCGTTCCCGGCCCAGTCCCTCGGCCCAGCCCCTGCCAGTGGGGATCCCGAAAAGTGACCCCACAACTCTGGGACCCCAAACACGGCGCCTGACCCCCTGGCCCGACAACCGCCTGCCCCGCCTCCTCCGCCCTCGCTGACCTTTGATTGGCTGCCACCAAAAGTTCCCATCCTGAAGGCTCTCCGAGACCAGTGGGAGGAGGGGGCGGGGCTAACAGCCTTTTCTTGCAAGGCAATTCGTAGCGTTATTTGCTCTTTAAACTCATCCCCCGTGGCTAATGGCTGTAGGAGATATCAATCATTTCCACTTCCCACCCCCCACCTCTCCCCGCACTGCCGGAAAGTTCTGGGAAAAGAAGCCACAACGTCTTTAGCCAGAAGCTGTGATAAAAGAAGCTTCCTGATTGGCCAGAGGCTGGGCTGGACCATTTTTGCGAGGAATGCGTGTCCCCTACTCTACTGGAGGTGAGTTCGTCCAAGAGGGGGCCGGTCCGGAGCGCTGGAGACTGGAGCGGCGCCTGCGCAGTAGATGAGGCTGCAGTGGCCGAAGCGGAGTTTAGAGCGGCTTTGGTATAGTGGAGGCTCTTGTTGCTTCCCCAATTCCCAGGTTCCGGAGAGTGCGGCCGCGAGGGGCATCAAAAAATCCAGCCCTTGCCCCGCATTCCGCAGGGAAATCTCATTTTAAAAGACCAGGGATGTTACGCGCTTTAAAATCTAAAATTTTTAAATGTTTAAAGTGATGTCTGTGAACAAAGGGAGAACAAGTGAACTTTGATGCGGGTGAGCCGGTTGGACTCAGCAATTTGAAGTGATGCTTTCCTCTGAGCCCCATTTCCTCTCCTGTAAAATGGAGAACGTGTATATATACCACATACTGAATGAAAGCGAGAATCCAGGATGTTGCGGTCACACAAGGGAGGCCCCTCTTGCTCTGCGGTCAGGAAACCCAGACAAATCACTGCCACCGTCCTGACCCGGGCAAGTCATCTCACCCCTGAGCCTCTTTACTCATCTTTAAAAATGGACTAGTGGAACCCACTTCATGGGGCTGTCCTGAGGCTTAAATGAGGAAGTATGTAAGTGCCTGGGACGCAGTAGGGACTCAACACTCAACAGCTGAATGGATGAACGAGAAGAAATTTATCAGGACAGATTTGGTCTACCATCATGGGCATAGGTTGGTCAGATGCACCCCTGTTCTCACCCCTGCCTACCCCCCCACCTCCCTACTCCCTCACTCCTCTGCCTCCCACCCACCCACTCCCCCAACACCCCAACCCTTGGGTGATGCTGAAAGGGAAGAGAAGCCGGCCCCTCAGCAGAGATGCCTGCATTCAGGATTTGCCATCACATGCCTTTCGGGTACCTGGAATGTTCTGCTGTCTCAGCTGCTCGCTGTCTCAGCGTAGCTACTCACCTGGAGCTGGGGGATGAACACACACACACACCCTTGACAAAAGACTGAAAGTGTCAGCTCTGCCTCCAGAGTAAAACAATGCAAATTGTCCGGAATTTTCTCTTCTTGGGAATCATTCCTGGCATTCTGGTTAAGACCTGTGTCCCCTTACTTACTTTTCTTCTTTGGAGACCTCATGCGCATCTGTGTCGGAGACCCCCAGGCCTGGGTGAGTCAGAAAGCCTCTGCCTGGCCTTCCTGCCCCGCCTCCAGGCTGTCCTGTGCACTGTGACCCCCTTCATCCCTTAAAGGACCCGCTGAGTGAGTCAACCTTTCGAGGCAGCTCCATGGAGCTGAGACACTGACACACATCTGGAACCAGCCTCTGAAGCCTCAGTTTCCCCTGCGAGGGGGTAACAGCACCTCCCTCCCACGCAGGGCTGCACTCCTCTGTACCATATCCAGTCTCCCTTTCGTTGCTGCTACTCAGTGTGACTTCAGTCCGCACCACCATGAGAACATTCTGGGTCTTTCCAGAGAGATGGTAGTCCTTTATACTGACGTCCGCACGCCTCATCCCAAGAGCCTTCTGTACAGTATGGTGACTAAAGGACAGCTGCGTGACTGAGAGTCACTGGGTATAAGGTGGTCCGAGAGCTTTAGAGCCATGAGGGGCCTTGAAAGATTCTAATCTAACCCCATTCTGAGCAGCTGTTAACAGTGAGAGCTGGCGTGTGTTGAGCATATGCTGGATGCTGGCTTCATTCTAAGTGCTTTCAAGGATTAATTCATTTAATATGCATATTTGATATTCACAGTAACCCCATATGAGGCCTGTATCATTCCCATTTGATAGATAGGGATACTGAGGCCCAAATGAGGTTAGGTCAAACGCCCAAGGTCACGTAGCTGGGGGATGGCAGAACTGAGGATTGAACACCAGTCGTCTATCACCCCGCTGGCCCCAAGAGGGACCTGTGCTGCCTCTAATTCCTCTCACTTCCTCCCACCCTAGAGAGTAAATATTGATGGAGTTCCTTGCAGTAATAGCTCATGCTGATTGAACATTATATGCCATGCACGTGCTAAGCCCTTCACATCCTCTCTCTTGTTTGATTCAATGACCCTAGGAAGTGGAAACTATCATTACTTCCATTTAACAGGCAAGGAAACTGAGGTCCAGAGAGAGCTTAAGGTCATGCAACAAGTCAGCTAGAATCAAAACCAGCCTCAGGGCGGGCCGGCCGAGTGGCGCGTTGGTTAAGAACTGGCTTGGGACGCCAGAGGGCCCCGGTTCGGATCCCACATATGAGGGCCAGTGACACTGCCCTCCACAGCTAAGATGCTGAACAACAGCTCAACCTGGAGCTGGGCTGCCGTGAGTCACCGGCGACGGCGTAGGCTGCAGCCCCTGTGGCAATGGGTTGCCATGGGCTACCGTATGTAGCCAGCAGCCCGTGTGAGCGGCCAGGAGCTGCCATGAGCGGCTGTCCAGAAGCCGGCGACTGATCTGCCTCACCTGGGAAGAGCGCAATGATGGTGGCAACTTGGGCCAGTGAAGCAACGTCCTCCACAACTAGACTGAAGACTGAAAGGATAGCAACTTGTCTGTTCCCCTTCCCCCAATTCCCCAGCACTGTTCCCATCCCCCAATTCCCCAATAAAAATCTTTAAAAAAACCCAAAAACCCAACCTCAGGGCACCTGCTCTTGGGACTGGGGTTTTTTTTTATTTCCTATTACCTGGAGTAGTCTTTCTGGTTTCATTAATAAGCTTTCCTTGATTGCCTGCCTTGGATCAGGCACTGTGCTGGGGCCACCAAAGCGAAGGTGACGGAGTCCCAAGCAGCTCTAGCAGATCCTGGCCATGTAAGAATGCCAGCCCTGACTTTTCTAGAAGAGCTCAGAATCTAGACTTTTGTGTGAAATCCCCTGACTTTCAAATTTTGGCAATGAACCTAAATTTAAAACACCATAGCTACAGTAGAACATCGCTGTTGACTGGTTCAACCTGCCTGTGACCTCTATGCAAGAAGGGAAGACAAATGTATGAACAAATCCTTGTGGCATGAGTGGATACAGGACCCCAAAGAGCACTTCTCATCCTGGAGGGGCCTTGGGAAGGAGAAGAATTGGTAGGAATTTACGACGTAGACACAGGGGAAAGGACCTCCTGAGTAGATGGAACAGCATGTGCAAAGGCATGGACTTGTGTGTGTGCATCAAGGGTTTAGAGAGGGCAGGTGACACTCTTTGCTCAGGTGTAAGGGGGAGATTGGTAAGAGGTAGGTCTGACCCAAGCACCTGCTTGGAGCCAAGTAGACAGCAGAATGGAAAAAGCATGATGCAAGGCCTGACATGTAAACTTCTTTGAGGCATTCATTCAACAACTATTTTATCGAGTGCTTACTAAGCACCATGGGCAGAACCATCATGGTCGCTGGTCGCCAGTGGGGAGGCAGATAATCAGGCAGTGGTGACCTATGACTGTGGTGAGTGTTGAGCAGGAAAGGACTTGTATTAAGACTAAATACCCTATGATGCGGTCCCTGGACCAAGGGCATCAGCATCACACAGTGACTTGTTAGAAAGGCCGCTTCCCCCACAGACAACTGAACCCTGGGGGTAAGGCCCACTATCTGTGTTTTCGTAAGCCTTTCTAGCAATTCTGATGCATGCCCATGTTTGAGAACTACTGCTCTTGGGTCATGCCAGGACCCACCTTTATCCACGTTCTCTGGCTGTTTTAGTGTTTGTCAATCTCCTCAAGATCCCTCCTACCTCAGGGCCTTTGCACTTGGTGTTAACATGGCTGCATGACACTTACCCTCATGACCTTCTGATCTTTGTTCAAATTTAAAGACTCGCCCCCAATCTGTCAGTCTCAATCTCCTTGTCTTACTTTTCTTTCTTCATAGCACTCACCACTACCTGTTATCATATTCCCTATTTATTTGTATAGTATCTGTCTCCCTCCCTTAGAAGATTAGCTTGGAGAGAACAGGGATTTGGTCTCTTTTGTCCTCCCAGCATCTAAGACAGTGCCCAGCATGGTGAGACACTCAGTAAATATTTTTGAATGAATGAATGAACCTTGTAGAATTTTCCCTTCTGTCCATTCATTCATTCAGCAAGCACTGATTCTTGTGTGGGTAACAGGCTATTGCTGGAAGGGGTGCCATAGCTAATCAGATCGGGGCAACCTGATGTTTGGGTCCTCTACCCTGCCCCTCCCCCATTGTGCAATCAGCTCCAGACCCATAGAACCCACAGACCTGTAGGCTCCATGGAGGAGGAGGAGTTAACAGCTGCTCCCCAAAGCCAGGGACTGGGCTGTTTGGGCTGATTACAAAGTGAGGGCTTTGAGTGAAAGGAAGCAGAGAGGCAGCTGCCGACAAGTTGTTCCCAGGGACTGTTCAATCATCCTGGGGTTGAATGCTTCCCGACAGCCGTGACAAGCAGCATGCGTCGGAGCCGTGGCTCGGTGCCAGGGACAGCCGTAGTATTCCACGCACGGCGCCGGGGCTGATATGCCTACTGCACGCCCAAGTCCCTCCACCATCGCCCCCGGGGGCTTTCCTCTGCCTGAGCTGCTCCTCAGAACCCCGTCACTTGTAGAGTGTATTAGCAGGATTGTTGGACGCACAGCAGTTCCTCTGGGTAAGTAAGAGGCTTTATGGGAAATTAGTGGGGAAAGGTGTCTTGAGAGTTATTCAGCATGAATCCTCAAGAATA